GTAGTCCTTCTTTTTCTTCCCGCGTTTTTTTTTCTTACCCCTTTTTTCATTTAAAGTTCTTTTTTAATTTTTTGCCCTCCTTTTTATTAATATTTTTCGCCTTTTTACTTGCTCTTGACTCAGAATAAACTTTCGTATATTTTTTTTGTATTTTCTTTTATTTTATTTCTACTTATATCTTACCATTTCCCTTATGTCTCTCTTTTGCCTGTACATAATGCAATCTCCAACTTTTGCCAACGCCCAGCAGTAATTTCTTGTACAATTTATGTCACGTCTAAAACAATAACAACAAATTTTGATTAATTCATTTAAGTAGCAATAAGTATCGCACTTTAGCTCTTTCTTCATTTCTGTTACACAGCAAATGGCATTCCCTTGATAGCAATGCAATCAAATTGAGTGCATCTACCCTACCATCATGACCTTTTACTGTGATCTAAAGGAAAACAACTTTATCATTTTGCCGTTTATCTTCAATTGGCTCTAAATTAGCGCTTATTTACTGGCAATTATAATAATAAAAACAATTTTGGCATGATTTTCAAAGTCAGAAACTTACATAATTTTTTCGCATTCGTTGGGAAAACGACGTTCATCTTGACACCTTTAACGAAATGTTAAAATGTAACAAAATTCATTTCTTAATTTATATTGTAATACACATGAATTAAGTTGGGATTGTGCCAATTTCGGATTCAGTTTAATTTAGCAGAGACTCTTTATTTTCGGTTGTTGGCTATCCAAGACGATTTGTGCTTGAATTGTCATTGTGACATTTTCTAAACATACTGCCTTTAACATAACACAACAAAATAACAGTAATGCGTTGAATGTTTGCTTAACTCTCAGTTTTGTTTACGAGCCTCCAGGTGGGCCCTAATGTTGTACCTCCGCCAAAAGGTCTGTCTTTTGGGCCTAGCCAGTGGCCTCAACCCTTTCCCTATGTTGACGATACATATTATCCCCAAGATTTATGTCTTTTTTCATCTTCAGGGAAGTCTTGGAGTGCTACTATGGCATTAATCAATTGCATATCACCATGTTCCTACATATTCATATGCTCATTTTTCATCCTAGGTCGATCCGAACATCTCATTTTGTACACAAAGAATATTATAATGGATGGAAGCAAATTATGCGGTTTGTTGTAAGTTACTAGAAATAGTGCATTGTACTTACTTATACGTATGCAAATATGTAATAATATGTATGTACTTACGTTGCTTTGCCCACCAACAGAAGTAAAACCACAAGCAGGGGGACTGGGGTCCACCTCATGTTCATGCCGATTTGTGAATGTAGCGTAATGGAGGCGAGGCTTCTTATATTCATACAGCAGGAAGTATATTTTCCAATACTATAACTCAAATGCTTGTACGCTGACAAGTGGTGTGATTGGCTAGTGTCAAATGTGTCGTAGGTGGGTGGTTTTCAAGTACCACTTTTGCTTAACCAACTGGATGCTTTCCATTGCCATGAAAGGCCTGTATTGAATATAGGGATACAAATTAGCTCACTTAAAAAATAGCATATAGATTTCAAGAGCAGCCAAATCTAGGTAGGACAAAAAAAGATTGTCAGAAAGATCCAGAGCAGACATGGGAGATAATTTGAACGTACCTTTGATGCTGTGTTAGTGTGGAGATTTTTAAAGAAGTAGGGCTTTGCGTTATTATTTCTGTTATTTTCCAGTTTCATATACTCATTTCTTCGTTTTGTCAAAAATAATAAATTTTTAGCGTCCTGGCTTATTACGCACCTCAGGATTAGAGAATGGCTTAAAAGGAAGGCAGTTGAACAACTTTAACTCTTCAAGCCGACTACAAATCTGAACTAGCCTTTGTTTCAGTAGCATCACGGACGTATCTGTCATCTGTCTCTTCGCAAGACCAGTGTACCCTACAATACCTTTGAGATCCATAACCAAAAGCGGCCTTAAATTAGATCTGCCTGTTGTCCGGTTCTTTTTTAGCCTATAATTAACTGTAGTTTCTGCATCCACCATTACACGTTCGGATGGCCTGGAAATATACGTCTTCACTTCCACGGTAACGTACAAGAATTTTTCTGTTGCTACCTTCACTTTCTGAAGATCCTTATTTCCTTCAGGCTAAGGCTTCATTAATAGAGAAGGTAGTCTGGACAAAGTGAGAGAAATTTAGCGTCTCACTTTTATTACATCAAACTAAAGAACACCTTTCTACTCATGCATTTATCCACGATAATGGAAACCTTTTACTTCCAAACTCTACATTAGGCTGTTTCACCAAGAATGCGATTATTGAAGATCACTTGTTTTTACAGTTGTAGTCATAAGCTGTCTACACACTTGAAGAAGTAGTGCAAGCGTCATACCAATGAGATTCGCTTTAGAATGCAGTATCGTGAGATTGTCAAAAGGTGAGTTACGTCGGAGCCCAAACATCTCTCATGGTATT